AAAACGTTCACTTTGGTTGTCTCCTGAAGTCGCCACTGCGTCTATGCGCGCTGCCATCACCATGTATTAGAGAGATATGATAGAAATTGGTACGTTTAGTTTAATTTTATTTAATTAGCTAATTCTTGTATAATTATGTTTTTATGGGACTGGGTTATGATTTTGACTTGGATGCTCAGAGGTTTATTCGGTAGTTCTGTAATGAACTGATATCTCAGACCACAGAGTAAAAGTCTATACACGAAGCATAAATGTGGATTTTACTGGAGCGTTTTGCCTGTTCATTATAATTAAAGACAGTTTCAGAATGATCTTCTTCTTTTTGTGTTTTCCTAGAGCTGTGAACGTAGAGTATGGTTGGTCAGTGCTCTGGGAGAACCTGTCAGAAAGGTTTAGCATCCAGTCTGGACCCAACTAGGTCAGTGGCGAGCCAGCCTTCATTTGTATGCAAATCCATGTAGATTTGCTGCTGATAAGGTTGGTTGGATCTTGAGGCATGAGTGGGTTACAGGCACAGAGGATTCAGGACAAAGTTTATATTCATCTTCATGTAATACTCAGTAATAAGCCTGGAGTCTTTTATTTTCTAACCTTTGTTCTCCAGGGAAGGTCACCTGAGCTTTGTGCTCTTTCTCTGTGATAATCTGTTTCCCTCCCTTAATGTTCCATTCAGTCACACTTCCAGAGAGGATGTATAACCTCAAAACATCTACTGTCGGTCAGTCAGAAGGCCCTGTGGAGCTGTGGGGGGTTGACTGTCAAGGATAGTCAAGGATACGCTGACAGCAGGGTGGTTGGACTGGCTGGTTTGGGGATTCGCAAAGCTGTGACTCTTGAATAAATGGATAAAGGGAATGTCTTGTGTATTTCCATGGAGACGGGACTTAAACAAAGGGGGGGAAAAAAAGCAAACATGATAACACATCAACATGCCTCATCAACCAGGCTAATGTTGTGTATCCCAGTAATCACTGAGTGTTTGCATGCACACATTATTCAGGATAGCGGTCCACAGCCTGGTGACCGCCATCCTGAGCAGATTTCTCGTCAGCAGAGTTTGATAGAATGAAAAGCTTCCCTGCTTCCTTCTGAAAAAAAAATCTCCCAAAGAGTCCTGACTCACAAAAACTGATAATGACGTGAAAATAGAGCAGAGGCTACCAAGTCTTCACAGTGGGAATGTTATATTATTATTATCATATTTGTATCATAATATTATTCAGTGTTTTAAAAAAAAAAATAAAAAAAAGAGTATGAGCTGGACTCCCAGGGGTTAAGTCATCCAACTGCAGCATCTCCTGTTTTCGTCTGGCGAGGAGCATTTGCTGCCTGTCATCTCATTTCTTTCTTTACATCTATTTCCTTTCATTTATCTACTATCTGTCTAATAACTTCCAACAATGCATTAAAAGAAAGAATATGTACTTCCTTTTTTATGTATATTACAGTGTGTGAACTGAGATTAAATGCTAATATTTTTAGAAAAAAACAAAGAAAACACTGCAAAAGTCACTGATATTTTCTGCACTATACAGTATTTCATCTGCCGTCTTCCCCTCAACTTTAACTCCACAGTTCCCGCTCTAAGATTCCCTTTAATAAATCCTCCGAAACACTTCTCTGGAGTGACGTTTTCAGATTTCCATTGTTTTGTTCCAGGATGCTCAGTGATGCTCAGTGATGCTCAGTGATGCTCACGTCAGCAGTCCTCACACCTCTTTGCTTCAATCAGAAACATTAGTGATTTTAAAGATACTTTTTGGTGCATTTTAGGCCTTTTTTTTTTTTCCCGACAGTGACAGTTCAGAAAGCAAGATGTGAGGAAAAGGGGCTGTGCAGGCCATGATCAGGGCATCTAGGAGCTGAGTCGGAGGCTTTTTGTGCTTCGCGCTGTAACCACTCAGCTATCTGCTATTAAACAGTGATTGCATGTTATGATCCGAAACCCTGTCGCTCCCATTAAAACTTACCAGCACTGAGGTGTGGTTACTCTGATTTGTTCTCGTTACACATTGCTCTCTGCAGCAGGATCAACCTACGATATCCAGATTTTCACCAATAAAGAACTCATCATACTATCACTCCTGTAGCAATGCAGCCTGCCAGTGTTTTAGGATTTTAGGTGCAACGGTGTGCATGCTGTTTACATTATATTAAATGAATGATAACACATTTGAACTACCTAAAACATTTCCAAAGTTACATACTACACATAAAAGAATATAAAAATCTGTGTGCTTGTTGGTTGTGAGAAACTAGGCACACTCTATAGATTGCAATAACCCACCCCTCTGAGCCTATTATCTGCTCAGGCTAACAAATTTAGATTTCACCCACCAGGACCTCCCCCATCCATCTGTCAGCATGCACTTCTCCCAGCCGAGTTGGGGACGTATGAATGCCACACTCCATCAAGCATGTCAGCTTGTAGATTAGAGTCCAGACAGCTCCACAAGACTTCTCCATTACCTCCACATCAAACCCCAAATTAGCTGAACAGATCAGAAGTGGAGCTCTGGACGTCCACACTCATTTTTCAGACACGGGGAAAAAGTGAGACAATCTTTTAACCCGATGTACGGGCGGTTTGACTGCTGTTACAGCCGACGTGTCCGTCAGCGAGCGAGCCTCCTGCCAGAAATATCTGTGAGGAAGATACTGAACCATTACCGGCTTCGTCATTTCTGCATAACAACCGAACAAAACACATATTTAAAGGTGTAAAAGTAAAATCCTTAGTGTCTCTGAATTCCACACTCTCTCACTCTCCACCAGGAGTGCGGCTGCCTGGTAATGGAGTCCTGGTTCGGTTCTGGTGCTGCTCACCTTTAAAGAGTTTGGAGTTACCAGCCTGATGGTTTTGCACAGCGGCTCATAAGCAGAGATCAGTCGAGGTGTTTTATCTTCGAATGAATGTAGGACTGCTCCGTCTGTCCGGTGCCTCCCCACATGAGCAGCATTACTCCTTCATGCCGTTCGACGTTAACGTACGTCTTTCAGCCTGTGCGCCTTGCCAGGATGAAGGCGGAGGGAAAGCGTGGAGAGCTGTGTGGTGTAACCCTTGTATCCTTGTTTACGCTGTGAAAAAGGCCTGTCTGTTAGATCATTAGCATGATTGGTGGGGTGTGTCAGCTACCGTCCATTTCCAGACAGCTCCTCTCCTGAATGGTCATCTGGAGGTTATTCTCCTAGATCAGTCTCATACTTTATCGGCTGAACCAGCCGGGTTTCTCATGCTGGACAGACCGACTGATGCAGCAGGGAGAAGTTTTTTAGGTTGTGGCATGCCATACGGGTTAATCAGGCTTTAACAGGAGTGGGGAGTTTTTTTTTTGCCTTCTTTCTCCACGGTGAAGCACATTTTCATGTTGTAATAATCTGTGCCATGGTCGTGAGTTCAGGCTTGTCAGTCAGTCAAACAGCCTCAGAAACCCTTCAGCGCACACCTTGTCCACATCACATTTCACGCCCACGTTGTGACGTAAATGACAAGCTGGGCAGAGGTGAGGAAGGAGCCAGGGTTTGAATTTGCCTCTCCAGCTCTCTGTATTTCATCCCCGGCACAAGTATATTTTTGTTATATCCATATTTAAACTATGTTGTGTCCTCCTCGGGCTGCAAGGTGGCTCGGTGTTTAGCACTGTTGCCTCGCAGCTAGAAGGTCGCTGGTTTGCGTCCCGGTGAGGACACCTGGGATCTTTCTCTGTGGAGTCTCCATGTTCTCCCCGTGCAGCGTGGGTTCTCCGGCTTCCTCCCACAGTCCAGAAACATGTTGAGGTTAATTGGTGATTGTAAATTGTCTGTAGGTGTGAATGTGAGTGTGCTTGGTTGTCTGTCTCTAAGTGTAGCCCTGTGATAGACTGGTTACCTGTCCAGGTGAACCTGCCTTCACCCTGAGTCAGCTGGGATAGAATCCAGCCCCCCAAGACCCTAGAGAGGATTAAGGTGTGTGGATGATGGATGGATGGATGGATGGATGGATGGATGGATGGATGTGTCCTCCTCTCTTTTGACAGGTGTGAACACTACTGATTTCCAATGTGTCTGAACAACACCTTGCACAAGCTAGTTAGAGCATAACCCAATCCCAAGGTTGCAGATTTGGTTAGAAATGATAGACAGCATAAAATACAGAACTTATCACATTGCAACCCCGGATCTCTGAAACTTGGTGAATGTAAAGACAGGCTTTAACCGCAGCAACGTAAGCAAATATCAAGCACAGTTTTCTAAGTTTTAGTAATATACTTGTCACTGTGTGCTACACTTGTCCTTACAAAGTCAGTTTCTTAAAGCGACGGTGGAATTTCGGCGCTATGTTATTAGATTCAGAGGCTTAGCTCAGCATTTAGAGAACAGACGCTTCATAAAGAGCCGTAGTGAGAGAGGGACTAACACTGACAAAGAGAAAACCAAAGACAGAGAGGCAGTCTTCAGACAAATTCCTCTGGGGGGAAAAAGGGAAAATCTGAATGCTGCAGGGAAACTGTCTCATAGGAAACGTCTGCTGATGTTCTGACAACATTTACGTTACAGCGACAGGACTGACTGGAGGATCAAGGTGCCAAGCTTTTAGGATCAAACGGTGTCGAGGCAACTTGTTGCTAATTTTAAAATGTTGGCGAAAACCATATTAACATGTTACCAAACCATGTGGTCTACAGACAACTCGGGCATCATTAAATACTATCATATATCCCTGCTTGTATTATAATAATCGAAATTAGACCGAATGTGACTGCAGCTACATCGGTGGTGCTTTATGCAGCGGTGAAACGGACTGGCTGTCAGAGCAGCGGTTGACGCAATGCTGAAGTTGACGGCACTAAATCCTCGAGCTGCTCCAGTGGAGTTGTTCATTAACTGGTGAGCTGCATTGTGCCGTGGTTGAACTGTGCAACTCCAAAGTGTGAATGTGTGGAACCGTGTGAGACCAGCTGCTGGGTTAATTTATGTAAAAGAAAAAGACAGCCGGTTTGTTAGGTTGGTGGTCTTATTGTGGGTTGCATGTTTAACGTTGAAAAATTACAAAACCAGTTAAAACACTTTCAGTTCACCCTAACATTGTTGATATATAGCAGATTTCATGTAATTCCATTTGTTTAATTTACGTGTACTGTAATAACGGGAAACCTCTGCGTCACCAGGGTGAACTTCAACATTTTTAATAAAAGTTGCATCTTCTGAGAAAGCTGCACGAAATCTGATAACATCAAAAATGGAACAAAAAAAATTTTCGGGTGTGGAGCCCATCTCTGCTTGAGGCTGTATGAGCTGCTACTAGCATAGAGCACGAGCAGCTCTGACTGGACTGTTGGTGGTCCGGTTGCTCTGTGGGTGTTGCAGGTACCAGGCTTTGACAAGCGAAGGGACAATATGGAGAAAGATTTTACATTATGCTATCAGTTTACACATTGCAAACAAACTGATGAATGTCTTTTTCTTTCTCTCTTGCAGGCCTACTCTGTCTACGATGAGGAAATCGGTTATTGTCAGGGTCAGTCGTTCCTCGCTGCTGTACTCCTGCTGCATGTGAGTAACCTTATCATCTAGCCAA